TTTTTTTTTTTTTTTTTTTGTACTAACATCAGAGTCTTCTTTCTTTGGTATTTTACTTTTGATTTCTAATCTTTTTCTTTTTTTTTCATTGAAACTATCTGTGTCAGTTTTCGTGCAAATTTTTTTTGTACAAATATCAAATTGTTTCTTCCATATTTTATTCTGCATTCTTTCAGAATTTATACAATTGTTTTTCCCTTGTCTCCATCGTCTATGACAAAAAAAAAAAAAAAATTTTCTTCAGCCCTATTTTTATGCCATCCTTTTTTTTTTTCTAACTTTTTTTTTTACTTTAGCATAATATTTATAAATTGAAGCGAAAAGGACTGCTCTTTTATTTTTACTGTTTAATAATTAGTAACTAACTGAGGTTGTCAGTAGCAATCTTAAAGTTTAAAGAAAGAAAAAGAAAAAAACAGAAGACAAGTAAAATTGTTGTTGAGAAATTGCAGAAAAGAAAAAGTTATTTTAAACAACTGAAATAAACAGTTTATCAGTGTTAAAAATGCAGAAATATTGCTAAAAAGAAATTCAAAAAAAACAACAGCAAAAAAGTTTACTGAAAAATAAAATACAGTAAAGTGTTTAATTTTTTTTATAGTCGAATACATTAACCATTTTCTGTTTATAAAGCAAAAAAAAAAATCTTTTTTTTTTATTTTTTGAAGAAATGTTTTCTATTTGAACTTCAATACCTGATTTCAATAATTTTCAGCAACTATTCTATACGGTCTGTTCTTCTCCTTTTTACTTTCAGTTTAAATTTTTGCCAACAATTATAAAGTTGTTGCAAATTTTTTGGAGATTCTGATGCTGGAACATTTATGCAGTAATGATGAAGAGCAAAAAAAGAAAAATAAATTTGTTGAACCGATTAATTACTGCTAATGCAACTTTATTGAATCTGAAATGTTATTGGGCAAAAATTTTGTTATCATAATGTTTTTTTTTTTTGTTCTTTTTAGAAAAACTGTAAATCATTTAAAGTCAACAGTTTATTTTGGAAAATTTATTGATCGGTGTAATTTTAAAATAAATTTAAAATTTACAGAACAAATAAAAACCAGTAAAAGTCACGATTGGTTATTGTTGACAGAAAAAAAAAAAGGGAATCTAAAGTTTCTTGTTAAACTCTTTTAGTTGATCAAACATAATACCAGCGAAGAACAGGGAACTGTTTTTTTGTTTTGTAGTAATAAAAAAAAAATTGTCACGAGTTCAAAAAACTTTTAGAAAATATATTGACTTTGAAAATTTTTTTGGTAGGTCTATTGACAGTGTGATAAAAACGAAGAAACTGTCGATTTTTTTTTGGAATACATCGTACTAAGTAAGCATAACAGACAGACGTCACCGCTTGAAAAGATCTGAAATTGTCGAAATAAATGAGCCAAGTTGTTTTATGTAAAAACTGTGAAGCTGTTGAAAAAGCCAATTGTAATACTGCTAACAGAAAAATAGAAAAAAGTCTTGTCTAACTTATAATCTTGAAAAAGTAATTCTTTAATTAAACAGTTTTTAAAGGTACCTGTCATTCACTATAATTGGTTTAGTCATAATGGTCTTACGCTGTACAAATTACTTTGTTGGTTCAGACAAAAGTTACGGAATGACAAAGTTGACGATTACACGGTAGTTACGTAGCTTCTTTTCCCTTCACAACACAGACCCTATTAAATCAGTAAGCTAGAAATTACTTTATTTATTTTTGCTAGCAAATTTTAATTTTATTCTATATCTCAATAGTAAATTTAGCTTAATTAGTCAATCAAATAATGCAACATTAGACTATTGAGATAGAAATAAAGTTTATAATAGCTGCTACAAGAAATTAACAAGAACCATGATAAAGTGCGTCAACTTTTACGTCAACTGTAGATGCCAGACGTGTAAGTGAAATGTAAGTGAAATTGAAGCAGGGAAAATGAAATTTGAGGCAGTAAATGCGCTTCGCTTGATGCCCATAATTCTGGTGTTGTTGACGAGCATGATGGAAAATGCCGATACTTGATTTTCACGTGATACCAGCTGACTCCATCTAATTTACGCTACGACAGCCAATAGTTAATTACGATAAAAATAAATGTGGCTTAGAAACTAAATTTTTTGAACTCTTTTCTGGTGCAATTCCTCTTTTTTTTTCTTCTTCTTCTTCTTCTTCTTAGTTCTTACGGTTCCAGTCAGGTATAGAAATTTAGTCTTTAGTTTTTACCCATATTTTGCTGTCCCTTACTTTTCTTACCGTCGTAACAGATTTCTAGCAAAAGTTGTAAATGCTTATACACCTTC